CTAAAAGTATAAGAGAAGAATAATTTACAAAGTATTTATACTTTCTGAGAAAGTCTTACATCAGATGGATTACCTGTGTATGATAAAATAGGGTTTTACCCCGTACCGTAATATATTGTTTTTTTTAAAATACTGTTATAATTAATATCTTATCACCACAATATATTGAGCGGTATTTTTTTTCTTCTAACTAGGCAGATTGACTTAAGTCCTTCTATTTGTGTACCAAATCAAATTTATTATAGTCACCTCCTGAACCGAACTCATTCTTATCGACACTTCAGGACTATGTTAAAATTGATCACAATATAATAGGTATATCAGTCGCGTCAATTATTCTGGTAACCATTAAAAAATGGATAGGAAATTTGTTTTCTCTCCTATGAAACGCAAAATTAAGGGATGCTAGTTATTACAAAAATGACTGTTAGGTACCATGAGAGTAAAAAAATATTGCAAACGACAGTCAGAATTGCTTATTTGTTATTATTATTGCTTATTATCAGAATCATTATTAATACAGTTAATTCTGCAAGACGTCTATATTAAAAATCAATTATTACCCGAACGCTTAAGCCATAAATTATAATAACTTGGAGCAAAACCATTGGTCTTAAGATGATTATTATCATGAGATTACATTATTCAAGCGACCTGTTCCAGTCGGGTGTATCATTTAATAACAATAACGTTGTTGCGGCTCGTCCAGCTATTTAATCGTAAGTAGGTATTCACGAGCGAAGGTATTTCAAATACAATCAATAATACCTAAATATTTACATGAACATAATCCAAAAAGCTAGAACCTTCCAAATAGCGCAGACAACGAAATACGTTTTGTTTAACATAAATCATCATCGCTGTGTTAAATCCGTGTAATTTCGACGGGACACACATATGATAGTATTGTGTTTATTGTTTGGCAGCATAATGTACATGTCAAAACATCAATTGATATAAATCAACATAACTTTTGTAATTTCATTCAGTGCTAGTAATATCATCAGCGTATAATAGATATTTGTACAATGTTCAAATCTACCCAAAATGTAGGTTAGGTTAGGTTAGGTTATTTCCACGCATCTTTCCGATTGACAGTTAATCTATTTATTTTCATTTTTTACTAATACTTTTTTTTTTTTGTTTATCAAGTACTCTCAAAACCATACATACAAATAATCCATTTGTATGCGTAAGAGGATTTTTTTTTTGCAACTTCGCATCAACTGTTCGTCGGCAGGCAACTCGTGCTGAAGAAATCTAAGAAAATCATTTTTACAATTGACGAACAACTAAAACGGATCACGTCGATCCTATCATTTTACGGTTAACAAACAAGACAAAGGGGAACACAAGTCGCAACTAATATATATGTATGCACACGTGGTATTTGGATAACAGTCGATTATCGTCTTCTTCGGTAGGAAATCGTACAATAGTTTTGCATTTATTACTGACAAAATCAATAGTATGCACCCTAAACCCAAATCTGAACTAATGACTGTTTCCATAATGTAAAAGTTAATTAATAAAATCTGAAACACATAAAAATGGTATACTAAAAATTCAGTTGGAAAAGCACAGTTATTATTTGCGCGTGTCTTGAATAGTGAGATTTAAAAAATATTTAAAAATAGAAGCATACAATTATAGTATTGTCCTGGTAAATATCAAGCATGCTTGTTTTATAACAATGGGAAAAAATGAATTGCAGACAAAAGAAAATAGAGAAGACCTCCAATTGAACAGCTGAGTGGAAATAACGGCTAATATTCCTCAACACCCAACTTTCAAAAAATGACAAAAAAAACCGTTTATTTCCTATATAATTTATATAATTTCTATCGTAACTTATAAGTTAAGTTTCAATGGAATATTATCCTTTGTGTAATATTAGTTTACCTTTCAGCTACCAAATGGTTATCTCAGTTATTTTTTAAATTTTATCATTTTTCCACTCAGCTGTGGAATTACAGCTTTGACGTTAAAAACAATTAAACTTGTTATGTTTTTAATAATACTTAGTCTTGACGGAAATGTTATTCGATAACATCTTACTCGGCATACTAAGGTTGTCGAAGGTAAAAAAAAAATATTACGGCTTATGGGCTAGATAAAGCCTAAAACCGTCGGAAAACGTTAATAATAAGAAAACTAGACATATTAGTGTCTGTACAGCATAATGTATATTTCAACTGGAGGCTTAAGGGTTATTTGTTGAGCAGCTCGAAGTTGTTCGACGACAGTTGCAGGTTGAAACTGCAGTATTAGATTACCGGTTAGAATAAATGCCCGACGTCCTGGTGACATGAATTATCGTTTAGTAAACCATTAACGGTTCGGTGAAATATATCATGGAATAGACGTCTCACGATCATCATAATATATGTATGTATATAGGCAACGGTAATGGTTAGTTAATAGCAGTCGTCGCATTGAAAGTCAAATGAAACGTTAGACATAAGTTGTACGTGCACAAATTAAATTAAATTAAACCTATGTAAAACTATTTGACAAACGGTCGCTGTGAAAACAATGAGTTTATTTTTTTAGTTAATAGAAGTACTTACGAAACGTTGAATTTGTCCAAAAGCAGTTTTAAACAATCTATAGAATATAAATGGTGCGCAAATTAAGTGAATCTGTTCAATGCTCCACGTGCCAAAAAAAACCAACAATTATTTATAATAATTGATTAATTAATAATTAATTTATGCAATATCTTTTTTTTTAAGCAATTAGCAACCTTTGGGAAATAAATAAATGTGCTAGAGTATAGAACTGTACTTATTTTTACCAACTGTTCAATTTATTTATTAACAACTTAGATTTTACACACACATTATCTAAATTTAAGTTGAAGTTTGTTTAACTAGATCATCAACTACAAATCAAGAATTAATGTTAGCATATGGGTTTGTGAAAACAAAAAGTTAGAAATACCAAAAGTTCCGGACGCAAAGTAGTAAATAACAAACAAAAGGTTTCAAGTTTGATAAAATCAGGAATAAATGTATTACGTTACAGTGAAATTTGTAATACAAATGTGATAACTACGTTGTCTTATGGGTACTTTATTACGTAATAACATAGAAATCTAAGTTGGTTGGTTGGTTTTTAATTAAATTACATTTACAGTAACAAATACACAACTACGACTGTCTTAGGTTGATTTTTTAAATTTATTTGTTGAAGAAGTTCATCCATTTTCTGATAAAATAAAAGTAAATGTACACATTTGACATATGTATTTATCAACTTTAAATGTCGACGGACCACAATTTATTAAATAATGGTCAAATTGGCTACAATTGTGTTTTAGACAACATAACCTTGATGAATTAAGTTAAAATATGTTAATATGTTAATTATGTAGCAATCGTAAATATATTTTCGACTCGTTTATTCGTAACGTGTGTAATTTATTTTCCTCTTTTCTGGGCGTAGTTTTGATTCAGAAGGTTTTTGTAAATTTTACAAATTATTCTATCAGCTACAAAATTGTGCCAATATTTTCATAGAGCGTTTACTAGTTATTCGCTAACAGTGTTTTTGTACGAACAAATTTCGTGTGTGACATCTTCTATTTGAAAATACCCAGTCTGTAGAATAACTCAACTTCAAAGATGATCTCGGCGACGACGATCATAATAAATTATCCTTTTTCGCGACACGGCCATAATATATCTGTCGCAGACGACTTGGCAAGTCCGCATAGTACAGCAGAGCATGTTTATCATCACGTTGCGGTGGCGAGTCCGGGTTTAAATCAAGTCCATTCAATTTTTAACGACTGTGGACATTGCTGCAGTCAAGACGTCTATCAAAACAACAAACGCCCAGTTGGTAATTTTATATCACTCGAGGCTCGTGGCTTTTCCAAACATAATAATATTATTTTAGAGTGAACGCCGCTGTGCCGGCTGATTCCTGTAAATAGCAGAAATATATTATATTAACGGCTAAACAACAGCCTTTGTGTCGTCGGGGAGGTTGTTTTTGACGTGTAAATGTGTTATGGGGAGGAGGAGGGGTTAGTTGAAAATGTTCGATAAAACGAGATGCATAAGGAGAAGGTAGGGTGAGATAGTTGTAGGGATGAGTTGGTGATAAAGGGAAATCGATAATTCACGCAGGTAATTTCTAAGAGAATCGATAGATAAGAGAGTCAGCTAACACGGACTATATGAAAACAGATAGCTCACTCGGTCGAAAACAAAGGAAATTTTTAAAAAGACTGATTTAGAGACTCGTGAAGATATCAGTGTAGCCGCATGAATTGTTATAAATTATTGTGCAGACATTTTACAATATTATTGTACGAACACCTTATCGATAATAAGATTTAAACGATAAATTACTACACTAATTACTATCACAAATTAGATCACTTTATTTTGTCCAATTTTGTGATATTATTATGAAATTGTATACTTAAATCTGCGGTCACCCCGATTTCATTTTGAGTCATGGTTTTTCTTTACATGCTAAGTAAGAGCTATTCTTTTCCATGTTGTCTGTGCAGTTAATAAGAGATTAATTGATAAGAGACAAAAAGTCAACTAATCACAAGACATGTCTTAGAGAAAAAAAACCTATGAAACAAAAACACAGAAACGCAACAGCGTACAATTGTTGTGTGACGATATATGCCATGTTTTTGGCTGACATAATCACACACACAAAGCTAAACATAACAATCGGTGCCGTTTTCTGTGCGTGAGGCTGGTCTGTCCGTGCGCCGAATACATTTACAGACGTACCCGATAGGTATTAGCATAACATAACATAATATGGGCGAATCGCTCGCCATATATTTTTTCCAATAAGCTCTATATATATATACGCATTCAATATAAAAACAACCGACCGTCAAAACGGTGCTCGGTCGATCCGTAAAAATATTCAAATAACTCGTGTCTGATGTATGTTAACAATGTACGCATGTATTTTTTATTTTTGGGATCGGGTGTATTTTTTTTGTTTTTTTTTTCTTACAGGAGAATGGCCTCTCGGCGTGGCCTGGTGCAACGTTTATGTTACATGCGACGTTTTGGCTTGCAGCTCGAGCATCATGCACATGTGTTGCATATCCCTGGGCAGATATCTGGGCATAAGACATCCACTGCGGACCAGACACCATTACTCGACCATGAAGCTAGTGTGTGTCAAAATCGCCATCGTCTGGTTCCTCTCGTTTAGCGTGTCGCTGTCGGTCACGCTTCTCGGTAAGTACTAACCAACCCCAACATTAATACGAGCCGCCATTCTAGGAAATTACCCGGAATAGACGATTAATTCGATAAAATGTCTAATTATATCATTTCCAAATAATGTGCATCTAAAAAGGGTTAGTTTTTTAAGAAGAAAAAAAAACATAATTAATGTGACGAAATCGTGACTTTCAAATAAATGCTTCGGTGCGAATCTGTGAATGACAATAACTCTTTAAAAATCATTAATATAAGTAATTTTTTTTTCTTTTAAGTTTCACTCAATTCTCGTGTGTTATAATAAATTATAATGTTTATTGAAAATATTGACTGATCGATTGGAATGTGTATTATATTTTAAGTAAGTTTAAAAAACTAACAAAAGTATATATATTTTAAAAAATTACTATTATTTCTATGATATGAAAGAAAAAATTATGAATATCAACAAATAATCACTGAAAAAGTTATATTGTGCTTAAAATTGTATTTTTATTATTAGGCTGGAAACGATTAGGGTTGTTCGTCTGCCTATAGTAATAATTTGTTTTCGTTGTTAGCCATTTATCGTGAAAATAATGAAAACACTTTTCATATATTGCTGTTAAAAGAAAAATATCCATTAAAAATAAATTCAGTAAGAAAATAGTTACCATACAGAAACCCAGCTATTTTTAATATTCCCTGTAAATAGTATTTTTTACTCACTTGAAATTTTTTATTTGGAATCACACAATAACCGAAAAGTGATTTAATTAGACACGGTTAAGCTTTTACCGTGTGTATAGAAAATATAGAATGTAATTGTTCATAGCATTTAAAGTGAAACAAAAGTGCATAAGATATTATACTGTTATTAAACATTTTCAGTATCAAGCCTCCAATATTAAATTAATTAATTTTTTATCCCTTTCTTCGCATAGAAGCGGGTACGCTAAAGAAATGTTTGTTGTTGTGAGGGTAAACACTATTGTGTGTTTGGCAGTAATGGGGATGCTATAATAGTGCTATATTGTTACGAAAAGTGGTATCAAATTCGAAACGGATATATATATTTATCATATAAATTATTATATATTTTGTATCAGTATAAAATATGGCGTTCTAACATGGCAAATATGACATATCGAGCCGATAACAATAAACTGCAAACGATATAATATTGTTTTCCCGGATGGACCGATTTATAGCAAGTTTTTATTATGTCACCTGTTCTGTGCAGAAACCATAAAACCCGCATAGGGTCTCTTTTGGAATTAATTACAGCGTTACCCGCATCTCTATTCTCAATATACTTTGAACTTAAATAAACTCGACTGTAATCTACTTCGCATTCTATTGTAACTCATACTTTTTTTTTTTAGCGAGAGAAAAGCATACAAGTCGCAAATATTGTGCCATTTTAAATAACATGAAATGTATTAATTATAATAAATGTTATTAAAATTAATTTATTAATAATATTCTAGTTGAGGTGTTGTTGTCTTCAAAATATACCCAATTTCGGAGTCTGACTATTTTACTTGCATTAAGTTGAATTTCGATAAACACTTGTTTGGTTTTGTCGACATTATTATAGTGTAGGTAGATTAATGTTATTTCCTTTAGGAGAGCTATTGACGTAAAAAACCGGTAAGTTGAATATAAATAGTAGTTGCAATAAGGCTAGTAAATACAAACGGCCCCAAGCCAATCTAAAAGGAGCAGTCTACCAAAATCTCCATAAATGTTGCCTTAGACCTTGTGAAGGTATTATTTTTGTGTCCGATTGTCTTAATATATTTTTTTTTTCGTATAACTTCTATCTTGGAGTATGATTTTTTTTCTATTAGTAAAACGTTATACATCCCAAGCAAATGTGTGGTCACGTACTTTTTGGGGTAATTTAATTGCCTTATATTTGTACATCTTTTACGTTCATACTTGGTTACAATCAACTTCACTCGAAATTGCCACTGTCGTGTTTCCAATAGTAACTCACCAATTAGACAAATTCTATCCGAATCAGTGCGGGGTATACTCTGTATTGTCTCATTCGTGCAAAGTTATGTATGGACAAGACTATAGTATTGACTAAAGCGAAATTAATGGGAGTAAAACTGTGCAGGTCAGTTTGAAAGTGTAATTAATGTAATATGTCAGACTTAACAGGTGGGCGTATAGCTTTCACGTCACTCATATCCGTTTGAGCACTTAGTGTAGAACAGTGAAGTTTAACCGTTAAGTTCGTCGGCGAAACCATCGCTGAGTGTTCAAAAAATTGTTCGACAAAAATTGAATGGAAAATATTAGTTAGCTGTATGTTAGATACCGGGTTGATAAACTTTTGCCATTCGAGAATTTTATGTAAAATGTCTAATTAGTAGAAGGACATATGAAGGGCACAGGGCAAAAACGGTAGTTGTCACATTATGAAAATTTTAGAGTATAGCAAAAGCAAAGTTCGTGAATTCCTCTACCTCTTACATAAGAACAAAAAAATCACATTAAATGATACTCTAATAATAAATGTATTTATTTAAACAATCTATTGTCATAAATAAAAAAAAAAACCAGTACAGTGGGATCGGGGCTGAGTGGGGACGAGGAGGTCACAGGTTTACAGGAATTTTTAAATCTGCAAGTGATAAAATCACTTTCGAAAAAACGCTTCGATGCAAATCGGTAGTTAGTATTTTCAAGCCAGTACAGTCCAAACCAAGCACAGTATAAACCAGCAGAGTTAGGAAGTATTGAATTGAGGTTCTGTATTTACAGATAAGCATCAAAGCGTTAATTTGAAAGTGATTTTATACAAGAGGACTAGTACAGTAGAGTATAGGCATAATGGAATCAAAGCAACCGAGGGGACGGAGAGGTCACAGGTCTAGAAGAATAATTATAAAAAAAAGTGATAAAATTGAATATCAGCTAATTTATTCTTATCTATCTCTATTCTTATCACTGTCATTTATTTTATCAGCAGAGCTGACAAACAGTGGTTTTTTTTTTGTTGAAGCCAAAAATATCGGTTTTATTGGATATGCATTTCATTTAAGTTACTCTTATATCTCTGTTTGTTTCTGCGGTCCTCATTTAAATGTTTTGAAGGAACAATGTTTTAGCCTTTAGCGGTTTATGACCAATACTCTTTTGATTTTATATGAATAGAAAAGTCAATATATATAGATAATAAAAACCTTGTTCGTTATTTCTTATTTATATTTTATAAATATAGTTAATGTCTAGAAAACCGATAACTTTATGTTATGACTGTAAATGTTCACACGTGCTAGGCTAGGTAGGGTCTTGGTGTTTAGCGTCCGAGTTTTGCCACGTCAGGAAGTGTAGTGGATTGCAATTGTAAGCAATTGGGTCAGATATATTAGGCGTTAATTATTAGTTGGGCTTTGGATTTCTTCAAAACGCACCTCGTTAATGGAGCAATGCGTCTTTACAATATTCAACGAAACCGCCACGCCGGCAAGTTCGGTAATTCTATTTTATCGAAATTCCTAAAGTATAGACAAATTACATTTAGGTGCACAAAGCGTGTATTATACCCGGCGAAGACTTACCGAGGAGGAGGAGGGGAGCTTAGACGATGCCGGTTATAAAGACAACAAACTACCATCTGTGTTTTTCTCACGTTCTGCCTTGAATAATATATTAATTTATGGGTTAGCCGCCGTCATGTGTATTATACATCAAGCTACCGGAGCCTTTTCCCCCGTCGGCGGTGAGACGAAACACAAACAAGCGGATTCCATTACCCATAGGTATAATAATGTACCGATCATTACTTGACGCGGATTACTTAAACTCTCTTTTAAAAAAAAAAACACCCAAAACCACCTCTTCTAGGAATTTTATACATATCAGCTAACTGTTTTCAAATTCATTGAATATAGCGATTGAGTGAGTGTCGATGACGTTGACATCTCCAGAGTTAAAGTATTAACATTCAATAAAAACTATTTGTTTACATTTCGGATCAAATCTAAAAAAAAATCGGGAACACGCAAGGGCATATTTGGGTCAATGAGGTCACAGGTCTTAAGGCATTTTTATAATAGAGAGTATAAAAAGCTTCCATGCTAATCTAAAAAATGTTTAATGTGAGTAATGATATTTTTTGTTACTGTTTATCGGTAGGATAATATCTAAACAATAGGTACCCCATACAAATTTAAAACTAGTTTGACTAGGGTTGAAAAGTTAATATAGTGTGCTCCTTTTGAGATTTTTTTTTCAGGCGATTAATTTCAAATTGTTTATTATTACTATTTGTTGTAATCGCCTATCTAGATTAGGCTAGACACTATAAAACTGTTGTATTGAGATTGTTTTACTGGTCTTGTCTTAAATTCTCGTTTATATCACTATTAAAATTATGAGGTTATTCACTCATAAATTCCATTAAAAAAGTTACGTATTAAAATTTTCATTCCGGGAAACATAATTATTCCAAGGCACCTTAAGACACCCGTCAAGAAAATACATAACTAGTTTTGGTCAGTATTATATATTATGTATACATAAACGTTTAATGATATTTTTAATTTATTTTTAGACAGCTAGTTTAGTATAGGTAATAATTTATTGTTAGCTGAATATTTTACCGTACTTATGTTCACTTAAAAACACATTTTTCTAAATATTTGTTTTACGTTTTAATACAAAATCTTAAAATTGAAATCTATAGGTACTTAGAATATATAAGTGTATTTTAATAATTTGAAATCTCCAAAAGGGTTATAATTTTCCAAATGTTATGCGAGACAAATCAAGTTTACAACCAAAATGTCCAATTTCTAGTAAAAAAATAAAAGTTCTTATATAAAACCGCAGGTGATCGCTAAAAAAAAAAATATATTTAGTTTCACCATCAAATGTTAACTGCAATATTCCAATAATGCCAAAGAAAATATCTACCGTCGTAGGTATGAAGCACACTTGTTTTTGTTTACCTTTCGAGTCTAGGGAAATTAAAAAACGTGCTTCGAGTGGCATATGTCAATTCGTCAGAGAATTTTACAAATAATTCCTAGAATGTTTTATTTCATTTTTCTAAAAAAACGATGGTTTATGACGAATGCAAATATAGAAAAATAACCGGCTATTACGAAAAAAGTAAAAACGATTTGTTTGTTCGGTGTAGAGATTATGACTTCATGCGCTGTCAGATTATTCTTAGCTTTATATAACATCATATATTATTGAACTATACTTTTTACTAACATGCCGAGCAAAAATTCTACTTCACGAGGCACAAACATAAATGCAGAGATAGATAGTAATTATCAAAGTTTGGTTGAAAACAATCGGTAAATAGGTAACCCAGGTTACACTCTGTCATATTAATAATAATTTACGAATTTCAGAAAAATAGTTTTACTAGTGTAAAACTAAAAAAAAAGTCGAGGACAAGTAGAGTTCGTCGATTCCAAAGAAATCTATTTATAATATAGATATGAATACTCGTGTATAAATATTTATATTATGCTAATAACAATATTAAAACAAATATTTAAGTATTACAATTTTTGTTTTTAGATAAAATTTTGTTTGCACGAGAACGTTAGTACATTTGTTTTGCTTTCTGAGATTTTGTAGGAAGAGGGGTTATAATAAAAAACTTTTCGTGACCAGGACTAGAATTTGCCATCAATTTGATCTTAGATATTTCTCCTCAACGAAGTGTTGAGGAGTCGTCGAAATAATCTTAAGACGTTACCCTTAAAGTGTGAAGGGTTAGTGCAATCGACTCCTGGAGTGTCTTAACACTCTACATAAGAGTATAAAAGATAACACAATACGGAAAACATTACTTACAAGTAAAAGCATTTTTGAGACAAGAGACACTAGGTTAACCATTTAAATCCCACAATTTGTTAGACCACATACATACTATTTTTACGCTACTCAAAGTCAAAATGGTTTGTACGAAACTGAATGACATTTATTTTTTCAAATTAAACGAAACTTTTAACTTTCCGGTTCAAAGCGAGCAGTCATCCGAAACTTTTTGTGTAACCGTTTCTGTGATAGTTGTTCAAATTATATAATATTATTTATTCCGAAAAACAAAAAACCTAATAATTTAGTTTCCTGCCCTCACAAGTTTTTTTTCTTTTTGTTTTCTACTGTCGTTATATTAAAATCTGAAAACGTTCACGGTGCTTTTTGGGTTGTCAAAGTTAAATAAAAAAGAAAGCCATATTGGTTGTACCTATTAAAACTGAAAAACTACGACTTGCGGTACCAAATATTTTACTAGCTTAGTTTAAAAGTTTTGTTTTAAATTGTTTAGCTTCTTTGATGTATACAAACTTAATTATAAAGTTATATTTTTTGTGTCGATATTTCCGGCGTAGGAAGAAAACTTGTGGAAACCAAAGCAGATAAAAAATTGTTGTTTTTTGTTCATATCATTCAATTGCGAACAGCTCTTTCGATTTGGTCTTATTCATTCTTACATTTATACAAAATCATAACGTTGAAAACATAGTGTGTCTATCTATATCTATATATATAGATACATATATTAACACGGAAGAGAGATAAATATTGCTTAAATTACTTCCCAAACTTCTGTTTAAACCCGGCGAGATGAAATTTTGATCAGTTACCAAAGAGTCCTAGGTACTTTCATCAGTTGTTAAGTAGATTAAAATATCTACCCTGTTTATACGTTCAAGAAGAAGAATAAGTTAAAGACATTTCCATTCTGTCACATCCTTAAACATCACGAGAAATTAATTTATTTTACTTTATAAAGAAAGTTTTTCGAAATATATTGTTATGGACATTATTAAAACTAATAACTATAAATACAGTTTTAAATACTATATCCTTAATATATTATAGGTACTTGAATAATTCGGAAATTTATAACGAAACTTGCCATATTATACATTTAATAACAGTTTCGCATCGAAGCTAAAAGACATCAATATAGTTTTATACTACTATAGAATAAGTATTTTTTTTTTAAATTAAATTAATATATATATTGGTTAAACGACAAAATCAGGCGTAGAATTAGATAAAAAAAGGCGAAAATAAAAAAGCAGTTAAGGCATTTCGCTGGATCTAAATTTAAAAAGGGAGAAAATGATCATTTTTGTTTTTAATTTTTAATCTTCAATTTTGTTTTTTATCAAACATACCATTTGGATTAAAATTAAATTATCCCTCGTTAGTTTAGAGATTTCTTCGAATTTGGCCATTCCCCGCCTTTTGTCTTCACTACCCAAAATCGATCCACCTATTCACTTAAAAAAAAAAAAAAAATATAAATTGGTAATAACTACATATTTTGTAGCGAACAGACAAATTACAATATTTAAATTACCCGCGCGCTATTCAAACTGGATAGGAACGTGTGGTCTAGTTTAATTTGCATATTTTTATTAAACTGAAAATAATATGAATTTGTTTTAGTCCGTAATTTTTTCCTTGATGGTGATTTTTTTTTTTTTGTTTCTCTCTCGGCTAACAATAACAATATTGGGACAATACACATAATATATATGATGAAACGGTATTGCACAATATGCTAAAGAGTAAAAATTCACCATACAATTTTTTCCACGCAAAAAGGACAAACGTGGCCTGATAAATAATTTTGAATTTGCAGGACTTTATAACCCGAAGAATATAATGCCGGAGCCAGGGATGTGCGTGATCAACAACCGAGCGTTTTTTGTCTTTGGTTCACTGGTCGCTTTCTACATACCAATGATCATCATGGTAGTCACGTATGCCCTAACCGTCCAGGTAAGTGAAGCAGCATTATCAATTGACTACATTAAACTGGTGGTTTCCCCTCTGCTGGAATCTACATGACGCACATAAAGTATACTATCTTAACGATTGAGATTTACAGGGTTATTCAAATTTCTTGTCATGGTAATAATTCTTATTAAATACCTAATCGTTTTAGCTAGAAAATATTCTAATAAAATCCTTCTTATACTTGACGATTGAAGATTATCATACTAAATTTCCGAATTAAAGTTATTATTTTAAAATTGTAGTATTAAGCGGAGTCGGGTAAAATAGCAATCTATGTTGCTAAACTTTATGTCTAGGAAAAGCAAAAAGGTATAATGTAAATAATGACTGGTCGATAACCTAATAACCTAATAAACTGGTCGGTTTTGGATAAATACTTTTCTAGTTTTTAGCATTTAAAGATTCAGCCTGGTGGTTTATACTGGTTACGGGGGTTTAAGGTAGTACCTAAATACATTAAATAACAACTATTTCAACTGGAATTGTTTTTACGAGTATCAGTTTTGGTAATACGTCATGTTGCTAATAAATACCACACTTTTACTTATTTGTTATTTCTTCAAATAGCAAAACATTTTATGTAAAACGTTATAATAATGCAACTGTAGAGCATTGGAAAATTAAAATATTTTATAAACAATATTGAAATAATTTTTGCGGGTATAATGTTTACAAATAATATTTCTAAAATATGAGTTATAATTTTTTCAAAGTATTTTTCATTACACATTTTTATTTAAAACTTTTCAAATAATTGAAAAACTTTTTGGAAAAAATAATGTTTGTCTCGTTTTAAAAATAGTTAAAAACATTTTATTAAAACCGTTTTCAGGTATTCGAGCGTTCCGTGTAAATTTGGGCTTAACGTTTTTAAATACACACAGCATAATTTTAAAAAAATTTCAGAAAAAAATAAAAAATAGGATTTTTCTCGGTAAATCCAAATCGGGCCTTATATTTTATTGCATTACGTTTAGTTTTTTTGTAAATCGTTCTTAAGTTGCAAAAATAAAACGATTTTACACATGAACTCTGAATACTTCAAGATGAAAATGTTTAAGTTCTTTGATTTTTTTTTAACGCAAAAAGTAATACGAGTATATATATTATGATTTGTGTCTTGAAAAACTCCTATTAAAATATTACATATATGTACCTAATATAACATTATAAACATTATAAATACATGGCTTTTCATATTTATTTTGTATGGTTCGGAGTGTAAGACAAGGGGTCTTCACATTTAAAACCAGAAAAAAATTTCCACAAAAAAGTTTAGATATTAATAAAACTGAAACGAAATTAAATTATTAATAATTGGAGCGTATAGTTTGTTAAATCTTGCGACAACATAAAGTAAAAAGTAATAAAAATTCATTTGAAATAAAAATATCAAAGAAAAATAAAGTAGAATACGAAATGTTTGAAATTAAATTTGATCAAAATACAAGCGAAAAATAATCAAGTAAATTCATCTCGGTAGTCGTGGCTGCTGATAATTTTATTTTTTTAACACCTAATGAGAAACACACGGTATGAAATGAACTACAATTTATTTTGTCGACAGTAAAAAATTACAATTTTAATTATTACAGTTACTTTTACTAGTTAGTAATATTCTTATTATTCAAAATCATAATCACTGTAAAAGTATAAACTAGCCATATTCGCCAATTCGATTGGACGGTAAAGTACAGAAAATATATTCAATAAAAATACATTTATTTAATGTTATATTTTTTTATTTGCTTACAAATATTTCCAAACAACCAAGTAGTTAAAAAAATTTAAAACTTCTACGTACTAAAGGGATTAAATGAGGATTTTCTTTGAAACTCCAATTACATAATCTATTAAATATCCCGTTTACTATGTGATAACGGTTTTTGAAACTTTATTTAAGTGCTGGAAAGTTGTTCCGCGTTATACCATGTATAGGTCCTTATGGCTTAAGTTGTTAAAAATGTATTTCTGATAACCTTTTTCTAATAATTTGATATTTTCTTTTCTATTTAGTGTTTATCTTTAAAAACGCTCAAATCATATCAGTCTAAACTCAATGAACTTGAAATTAATTTGTTAACTATGCTTTAACTGTTAATAAGTCGCTCTATTAGTTGATATTAATTAGTGAATACCTACTATTTAGAAGTTGTTTGTTAATTTTTTTAGAATTGCATTATTAGCCAATGTAATTAAATTAGGATGACTCAATATTTATTTATAATTTAAAATCTATATTATTAGTATGTATAAATATTAAATATATTTTTTGGCATTTAAAAATTAGAAAAGATTATACAACACGAAAAACTCTTTTTTTTTTTAAATATTTTAACCTGAATTTTATATTTAGGTTTAGTTATTATAACTTTAGGTTACCATTAGATATATGATTTAGCTTAATGTATAGGAAGTATAGCCAATTTGCACTGTTATTGAGATATCCTGAAGGAAAAACGTCCAGACTTATGATATAATGTTACGATTCTGAATTCAATTTATTTAATTTGATATAGAACAGTGTAACCAACATCATAAAATGAGCCTCGTTTTTTTTACAAAAACGTGATAATACCGAAAAGGTAACATTTTTCAATAATTAGGATAAATCAGCTGATAACATATACACGATAAGAAAATTATAAGAATGGCGATTGACAAGGATAATTAGGATGATATCAGATATGATAAGAAAAAAGAAGCCTAAAAATATTTCATCCTTCAAAAGGTGTTAAGCTTTAGCTGAAAATAACGAGATATATTTGCTTTGTTGCAGCTTTTGAGGAAAAAAGCCAGGTTCCTGTTGGACGACAGTTTTGTGGACGGTCGAAGAAACGGCAAGGCCGCAGAGCCACATCTATTCAGGCGGTTGGGGGGTCGGTTTTCAGCCAACAAAAATCAGAACACCTCCTCCAGGTAATTCTCTAGGATAAGAAGTGGCCGCTGTTCGTCATTCATGTCATAACACAGATAAACGGGTCTTTATAAATGTCATATACATTTATTGTTTATTTTATATTCACACACAAACTGTATCGGTACGAGCCGGGCATATAGAAACGTAGATCGTTGTATTATTATTATCTTATAATGGAATAGGTCGCTGCTCGTACACATAGGTTTAATTGGATTTTGCATATTATATACGCACTTAGATTAAAACTTGCAGAAACCGCGGATATCCGGCGGGATGAAACCGACAGAACGTAAGGGAAAGGGCGGTCTGACTTCTTCCTCCGACCACACGAATTGGCCTTTGGCTTTAATCGCTAAGCTTGATGGTTGACAGGTAACCGACCGTATATCTTCGTTAGGATATATCGCATCCGAGATTAGTCACTATGATACCGAGAGCACGATTACACCGTTTTTCGCACCCCAAACCGACCGCACGATCCCGTGGGGTATAATACACTAATAAACAGAATGTACACAATTGAAACCTAAAAGAGAAGGGGGGGGAGGACTTGAAGGTTGCAAGTCAGAAACGCCCAGTCATATACATATATACATTTCGCAGTTGCTAGACACTATAGTGGGATGTGAATATATGGAAATGTAGACTAGGTCTTTTTTGATTCTTAAAATGTTCATACACTATCAGTCTTGAATTATAATCTTATGGATTGACAATCAAAAAACTGACCATGTATAAGATGATCACGGTCGACAATTAATTTTCTTAAGTGATAAATATTAAACTTGTTTTAATTTTCGTTATAAATCAAGATGTTTGACAATAACAGACTACTCGTATGTCGTTGAATATTCAATTTTGTCAGTCAAAAAGTGGAAAGCAACGGCACCTTTGTTTTAAAATACAAAATTTCTTAAATAAATTTTAATAATGTAGACTTTTGGTGAGGTTTTATAAATATGTACAGAATTTTACCAGCAGTGTGTAAAGTGAAATGTGAGGTTTATAAGAATGAGATTATACAGCAAGATGTATATAACAAATTAAAAGAACAAACATAAATTGATCCAAATGCCAACGTAAATACTATAAAAAGTTAAATCAACACGTTCAGATCTAACTAATCCCTCGTACAAGTATCTTCTTTCTGTACAATTGGTGTAACCATCTTCAAAAACTCTAAAAATGTCACACGTCTCATTGAAGTTTTTACAAATAGATGACGGTATAATCACAATTCTTCAACAAGATTATGAAGGACAAAAATGTTTATATTCTTGAACCATTCTTTCATCCACAATTTTTTCCTTTTTATTCCACAGAGAAGATATACAGCAATTTTTTTTCTTTTATCATGGTATCGCCCAGACTGAGAGGGGGACGCTTTCGCTTTGCTTCCCTCCAAGATGTACCGCAATAGCAATAATAGCTTCTTCATCAATATTAATTAATATTACCTAAAATATTTAATTTATAAACTCTATAATGATGATCATGCAAATAATTCGTGGGTAATATAAATAAAAAATGTGTAGTGAAAACATAATGTTGGCTAGGTAACGTTTCAGTCCATGTTTAAAATGAAAAAAATCGTCAATAATTTGATTTGAAAACCCGGATTCACAATGAACAGTTTATCATACAATGTTTTCATTTATTTATTTATGGAAATTTCAGGAGAACGAAGCGGACACAAATCAAGTTTTGGTCGCCTTATATTTAAAGGATATAAAAAAAATTAAGTTACGTGTACATTTTACAACGAACACTTATTTTTAACACAGACATTTCCATCGTCAGCAAAAATAGCTCTATCCTGAAACGTTTTCTTTATATTTTTTTTATCTTCATTGCGAAGATTTGTTATGGTTCAAGTGGGACGGGCGCTTGTCAGCCGGTAAAAAAGAAAAAAAAACATTTGAAGGGGATTTACAATGATAATACGGTTGTGCGGTACACTTCGTATGTGCGCCGAGTGTGTTTGTCGTGATGTATAAGCCGGTAGGTCGCGGGCAATTTAACAGGACAAAAATAAGAAAGAAAAAAAATAAACAATAAAGAAAAAAACTTTTTTTCCCTTCCGAAAACTTTATACGGCGTTCGATTTCGTGGCCAGCAGTTTATACTTACCAGTTCCGGTAGCACCGCCGGCAATGTTGTAAACGATCGAGGTTTTAATGGTGTTTTCCACAGACCTTTCCCCAAACCGAGCAAGCCGCGAGTGTGATGCATTTACACACGTATAATACTTAGTATGGCCCGCGCGTTATACCTGCTCGAGTGAATTATTTCATAAGGTAAACCACACACGTATGTGCGTACTATGCACGGGTTGCCTCGAGCAGGGCAGAGAAGCTCACAGCGTTGATAACACTGATTTGTTAGCATCACGCCCTCCAATCCACGCAGTTTCACGTCAATCAGCTCGGCGCTGATTGATTAACACACTTACAAAAAGTAGGTTTCTCCGCCGTGGACGGGTTTTTAAAAAAATACCATTCAAACCATATGTTCAAAACGCAAGTGATGGAAAATCGACCGGGAGAAAAGTCGGACAATCCGTCAAATTGTTTATTTTTATAAGTAGGCCGCGGATGAACAGACATTGACAAAACAATTATTTTGTTGACACCGAACATGACTTGTGACACAAAGAGCGAAGGGGGGACAGCGGATGGTGATAAATGATAAGCGTGGGCAAATCGAGACTTCCCGGATAACGGGTAAGAGATTATCAGCAAGAAAATCAGCTACAGAAAAGAGATTATTGATTGACAAGAAACAGACAATCAGCTGATCATAAGACATGTCCATGATCCAATGTCTTTCCTTCATGGGAGAGATTGATTTTTGTAGTTTGAACAGTCTAAAGTGAAGCGAAGATTATATTTTTTAAACTTCTAACTACCCCTGTTTGTAGTCTAATAACAATTTTACTGAATATCGAATCTTTAATCTCTAAGCACCGCATTAATCTTCAATACGGAAATATTAAAATACTTATACATTCACACTCGGTGAGCAAATAATTGAACTGCGATAAACTTAAAGTTTGATCAAAAGAAGAAGTTTCCTATGCGTAGAACATATATTAATAACTTTTAGATTATGGAAAGTATGATAAATCGATTAATGCACTTTGATACTTAGAAAGTGTAGAGTGTACTTAAATTAGTATTATACGTTATGCCTTCCTCCATGTGCGCCGAGATGAATTTACATGCAAATTACTTTATAAACAATTTTGGGCAAACACTTTAGTGGTTTTGTATACTAAATAAAATCGATTTAACTCATTGACACTATTTTGCTGGCCTGCAGCTTTGTATGAATTGATCTTAACAAGATATTGAATAAATCATATCTTTTTTTTCTCGGGTTAGGTCTGGGATAGTCTAACTTTTTCGGATTTCGTTTAATTAAAGCAAAACCACACCCCACTGATTTAATATTAAATTTTTTTCCGTGTCGCCAAGTAACGACCAAAGTAATGAGGCCATTATTTCGATGCCTAAGGCAGTGAAAAAAGGTAGAATGCGATTTCTGTGTTTCAGTGTATATTTCATTTGTCTAAGAACTATGTCACGTAGTTAAAAGGGGATGCGACCCCAGAACCTTTCAAGAGGACATCTTTCAAGTGGTTTTGTTGAAAACGTGTAGGCGACATTTATTTGTTAATTAGGAAGAAGAGGTTGGTAGGCAACAGACAAGTGTCTAACATCACTTCTGCAGTGTAATATTATAATATTATGTAGTATGTACACTATATTTGAGGTCCTAGTTAAGGTTATTTTAGTATTTATAATTTTATAATTATTATTTAATATTTACAATATTGTCAACGAAGTTCGATTACTCCAATCGAACACAGATCTGATTAGTATTCTTAACACAATCTGTTGTTTAATAAATAATTTGAATTTGGTATCAGTCATTGAAATTTTTTATTAATTCCTACTTATTTGAATACAAATTTCACGCTTTGGCATTTTACACTGAGTATATAATTAAATATATTTTATTCTATTTTAATTAAAAAAAGTAGAAATGCTAGACAAGTGCTACTGTAATATTAAATATAACACAAAGAAAAAAAAATGGTGTCATACTTTGTCAGTCTCAATATTAGTGTAAACGAGATAGGAAACGATTATGAAATACTAGGTAGTAACATGCTGGACATTAAATCATCAAGGGGATTTGTCCTAACTAACATACTAAAAATACCACTACTCCCTCTACTAAATATTTGAGGGGAGGCGAGGGAGGATTAAACTTATATATTTCTTACGACATTAAATGCCGTGTTGTCGTGAAAATCGAGAAAAATGGAGATAAGCCAAATATTGAACTATATAGATTTACATAAAATAAACATCATTATGTAAGGTTTTTATAGCAACAATGGTGGGATGTGTAGACGAGTGCTCAGAAAAATATAACCGCCTAAGGGGAAATTAATTCACTTAAGTGCGATGCCGAGTAAAAACAGATATATTTCACCGGAATTGCAATGTTGCTAATTCATCACCAAGGTCCTGAGAGTTTGGTGTGGTGGAATTTTCGCAGATGTCAAATAATTCATCATTTTCTATATTATTAGTATTTCGACGATGATTTTTCCATAACAAATCAAAATCGCGTAAGCGTACACTAACTAGCTATAATTTATGGATTATGCAAACAGCTTTTGTCTCTTGGTCGCGCATCTCTCTGGGTTAAAAATACAAATGATTTGTTTATCGAAATGTCGCTCAGATTCTTGAAACGATTCTTAAAATGGCGACGTGGGATGAAAAAAATAATAAACGACGAAAAGTAATCACTTTGGTGAATCCAGATTGAATTGAATCAGTCAAGTATAAAAGTTCACCGAATGACCAAAGAATAATGTATTCTTCTTTACGGTGTATTGGAGAAACTGTGTATTGTGCTAAATCGGTGATCTATTATTGTATTATTATAGGACAATAAAACATCATCTGTCAGTCTAATGACATTATCTCATCAAACCGTCATTATTGACTTATTGTTGAAACACAACACAAACCGTTAACAGATGTATGCTTTTGAAAATGATAAATCGAACACGGGAAACACATTAATGTTTTAAAATTATGTTTTTTTTTATATCAGTCACTGTTGCCTATACTACAGCCCTCTCCAGGCTCTTTTCTTTTCTGGTATCCCTATACCCTTTACTCGACGGTTTGTTTTCATAGTTTCTAATAATTATTATTAGAATCATAATTATTTTAACTCAGTTTCACAGCTCTATCAGAAAATTATTGTTAAATTTAACATATGTACAACAATTACAATATTGGTTTTGCGGTATTCTTGAAATGCAAAATACTAGAGTAGTGCACAGATTAATATAAATACCTGTAACATTTAACTATTACTAAAGAACTAGATCATAGATAAGAAATATTAAACAGAGATATTTCATAGTGATTTTTCTACCTATTTAATGACTAATGTTATTATTTGTATTACAAATATTTTTCCTCCCACGATAAGCTCTTCTATTAGGTAGAGTAGTTTCTAAAATGTCAGGTAAATCTAATTCGAAGCGCGAAACAAAATATAAATATAATTCCATAAACTTCTTTGCCTGTTTACTTAAGAAAAATGTTTACCAATATTATTTTGTAAACAAGGTTTTCGTTAAACAAAAGAAAATTAATAAGTCATTTTAATTATGTACCCAAAAATGATTCAAAATTCTATTAAACTGAACTAATTTAATGTGTACAAAATAAATCACTTGGTATTAATCTTAATGAGTTAATCCATTTTCGCAATATCAAAACATATTTTTTAATGCTATAGTCAAAGTTTTTTTTTCTTCATTATTTTCTAAATTGTCGTCATATTTTTTAATATAACAATGTTTTTGTCGTCAAAAATAATATTTTTTTTTCAGGAATCTTCAATAACGTGTTTGAATGTAATATTATAATATAACATTCCTAATAGTAGGTACCTACTGTAAATCTTGTAAAACATTATTTTCAATTACATTTGTAAATCTTTTGGCACACAATGGGTGCTATTGTGTGAATATAATGAATTGAAATTTATAGACCGTTTAACACACCGTAAGCGCATTTTCCGCATACACATTCGTTAAGAATGGCAGAAAGCTTTTATCGTAGGCTAAGCGAGGGCGAACATCAATTCTCTTTGGCCGTCACACGTTGCTTGAACAATGAAGATCACGTATGAGGAGAAAATATAGAAAGCACCCATTGTGCAAGCGTGTTTAGTTGTGGTATCCATCAATATCAATGATAGAACAGAGTGCACAAAATATCCTTTTATCCATAAGACCATCCGTAGGAGATGCTGTGGTTGATCTGAGGAAATCAGACGGCGAGGGACAATCAAATTATTTTTAATTTTTAGACACATTATATTGTACATTTATAAATAATGAAAAAAATAGCCACCACTACACTGCTACAATATATACTATGATGCATAATTAATAGATCGAAGTGGAATTTTACACATTTTGACTAGGGTTAGCGAAAATTGTGTAATTACTGACTACCATTAAACATCAAACACGATCTATAATCATAGGACCGACCTAAAAATGATTGACAACTAGTTTCGGCTGATGCCTTTTATGAAAAACGATTAGAAACAGGGTGAAAATATTTCTTCACAGAAAACTGTAAACTATACATTTTTACAAATTTGCACCGTACATTAGAATAAACATTTTTAAATAGGTCAATATGTCTTTATTTTAGCCAATATATTAGCAGAATGTTGTGTACAATTATTGTAATATCATTAGCTATAGAGGGACAATGTCGCAAGGTTTAAACATACAAATTTAGGGCTAAGTGAGATTAAGAAAATCAATTAAAGTAAATATGCATTTATTTTACAAAACAAAAAATTTTAAAAAAACTTGTTATTATATTTTTTAAATCTTGAGCTAAATTCTAGTGTGGAGTTTCCAGAGATGTAAATAATTACTTGGCATAATTTTATGTTTTTTCATCAAAATATATTTAAGATTTTAGCAAAATTATTATAAAATATAAAAATTGTTTTCTTAAAAAATCAGATAATATAACAAAACAAGTTGTACTTTTGAACGCGTTATCAGTTAAATTTAAATAGGATAGTTACAAAAACGGTTATTGCACAAATTCAAGTAATACAATTTATTATAGATATAAATCGACTAAGAATAACATTTAAAAAATCTTTTAAAACTCTAAAGCCGTTAGTACTTTTAAAATGTTTTAACTATGAGATTTTAACTATGTTTATCATTTTTGTTCGAGCTAAAATAAACTTGTCATAAATAATATTTAACGAAATATATTCAACTCTTAAAAATTACTACTGGATACTTAATAAAATTCATCGACCATGTAAATATTTACTCATCACATAAATTTACAAGTTGAAATGTACATGTTATTTTTGGTTAAACCAATTGATAAACAAAAGTTGTTATGTTTTAAAAAAATCTATTAAAAACGAATGTTTTTTGTTTAAATCAACAGAGTTTCCTTAATGCTAATATGTTTTAAATTAAAAAATACTGATTTTTTTTGTTTACTCGTTATGTAAAACTTCTGTGCTAATTCATAAAATATTGAAATAAAAATCCTTAAAATTATCTGGGCAAAATATTTACATAAATATACATTTTTTGCAATAATCAAAAATTGTATGACCTACTTGTTGGAAAGTAGACGGATATTGGCCATAATAATAGTTGTAATCAAATTAAAAATATGTTGTTTCCTAAAAACAAAATTCTTGCCATACAATTTAAAAACGATAACCCGAACAAATTTTTAATTGGTTCCTTTTTTATGAATCAAGTCTAAGTGTTCGGTTACAATTTTATGTCATTATGATTTAATTTTTGTCATGGTGATTAAGTAAAACTAAAATACATTGTTTTAAAACGACTTGTAACATTTCAAAAACGCAAAAAGCTATCGATACTGAAATTTGTTTTCGATAACGAAAAATAATCAAAAAATTAAATTATAGAAGTATTGTAAAGTGTGACGGAATGGTGTTGTTTAAAGTACAAGGAAAATTGGATGAAACTGAAATAAGGCTCACTTATGATTTATGTATGTGTTGAACATTGCATAAGAGTAATTCAAAGAAAATGTATGCAAGTAAAATTAGAACTTATTTGGGATATTAGGCGAAGATAGAGAAGATTCAATGATAAAAGTTTTGTAATAATTCGAATTTATTAATTAAAGTGAAATAATTACCCAGAGAAGGTTAGGTTTGCTATAACTTTTTAACATTAATGAGCAGATTTCCCTATTCAATCAACGTTTTTCAAAATCTATTATCTGCGAGCATCTGGACATTATCTATGACGAACAGAGTTATTAGGTGATAAATCCGTATTGACGGATGTGTTAAATATTTTACGAGTCTCTCTTTTCTACTGTTCTTGACTTTATTTATATATTCCTATTTTATTATAACGATTTATAGTTGTCATCTTTTTATTAGGTTTAAAAATCCAAAAACACATAAAAGCGTGTACTTCTTAAGGGGTTTTATTAAGTACATGTAACGTTATTTTTTGTTGTTTCAGAAATGAACACACGGGAAAAAAGAACAAACACTGTGATCAAGACATTCAGACGGCGGATACAGTGTCCGCTTCCAGCAACGATTCAAGAAACTTCCGGTTGAAAACGCTCAGACTTCCGTTGAACATGAACCCGTCGACATTGAATTTGAGGTACATAAGGTTAGAAAATGATCAAAACCGCTAGTGTAGTGGAAAATTCCGCTTGTGGTAAAACATTCTTCTTCAAATCACTGTTGAAAATGTTGTACACCGAATTACCGGAAAATCCTAAATATTGATAAGATAATTAGAGATTCCTAAAGTTTACAGACATTATAAAGCGTTTGTGCACTGATTACCAACTGGAAATAAAGTAAAGGTACCTTTAAAACACGGTTCCGCTTACCCTGCTTTTTCTCCTTGTCAGTAAAACCATTGTGATGTTATACTTTATTTTGGAATCAATGATTTGATTATCTGAAAAATAACTAGTTGGTTTAAAATAACCATACAGACCTTGGCTGTGGCTATTTGTTAACCTAATTGGAGGTGACTTCTTCGCACCCGTGTTCGGTATACATTGTATACCACCTATTGTGGTTTGTCCGTGATGTTAAGTGTTAATTATTACTTGTATTCTGAATTTCTCAATCGTATTATCTAAATGTTCTCAATTAAAAAAAATAAATTAAATAAAAATTAAATATCCATAACCATTACAGCTTTTTTATGAGAGAGAAAACTTAAAAAAAACCAAATAACACGATTACAAACACTTTTATTGACAATAAAATGACTCGTATCATTTTTATCGTGCACAGATTCGCATCAAGGCGTTTGTTTGAAAATTATTTAATCCTTTTCAGCTGTAATGAAAACCTGTTAACACTGTGCCCCGAACCCACGGCGTGGGCTTTTTTTCTTAAACTATATAAGTAACGTCACCTCCAACGTTTGTACGGTTCGACTGTAAACAACGTTGTTAGCTGCAACTGTCGCGTGCAGTCGTATCAGTGGCATTCATAGTAGTTTTGCATCATCTTAACGACAGCATCTGGCAACTCGGATGTTGCAAAGCACCCTATATTATGTTTTGCCGAAGGATATAAAACGGATAACTTCTCGTGTGATCCGACCGCATAAAACCGTACGGCGTGGTTTATGGCTTTATGTGTGTGTGTGTGCTTTTCGCCGAGAATGGAGAAAAGTGATTTCGAGTCCATTGTCAAGTCTATATACCGGATCAATCTACTCAAGGATACAGCTATATTCGCCGAACGAATAACATCATCCCAATGACGAATGTAGGCTATTGAACAGACGAGCCGCCACCGTCGTTTCACCCGTTCGTTCTTTATTAACTCAAACAACAACATCCTGACTACACTGTGTAAGGACTGCAAGTATCGTTAGCGCATTCGAAGAAACCCTCGAAAATACAGTGTTGTACAAATGTGGGGTTACCGTGATTTTTTCAATGAAATAATTAATAACTTATAATAAAGCAAGCTGCCCATATTTTGGGTTGCTAGACCACGCGGCATACAGCTAATTCAATCTTTATTATATTTGCCTAATGATAAAAATTATATTTTATATTTACTAAAACAAAATATAATCCTAAGGGTTAATTATTATAGTCAAACAGCAACATAACGATTGAATGGAAATAATGACTGGTAAATTTTGAATAAAAACTTTTTGTATTCTCAGCGTTTAACGTTGAGCGAAGAAGAAACAAGGGCTGAAAATATAAATAAAGTTACAGACTACCTCAACCCCAGTCCAAACCTTAAAATGCTAATAACTAGTGAAGTATTTATCCAAAAGTGATTATCGAACATTCATTATTTATATTACATTATTTGGCTTTTTATAGATGTAAAAGAAACCCCTTTTTATTACCACTTAAAAATAAAAAATTTAACTTTAATATTAAATGTAATGTTTGATCGTTAATATAATAAGGATTTAATAGAATATAGTTGCCTAGCTAAAACATTTATTTTATAGAAAAAACTATTGTAACAAGAAATTTGAATATCCCTGTAGATTATGGATCTTTGCCGCGTAACATGTGTGCGTCATTTAATCTGATTAGGCCTCTGGGGATTTCATTGGGGTTAACAGGGTTAGTTCAACAGTGTATCCGTCGCAAACCCTTATTATTCACATTTGACTACACTCCAATAAATACAGACATTGATTTGAGTTTTTTTTCAACAGTATTTGTATAATAGTGTTCACAGGCCTGCTGAAAATTAGACCCAATGTTTTAGTGGATATTTAATACTCAGGTTTTTTTCAATATTTATGTAGAGTTCATTAAATAATATTCACTTACGGTATCTCAACCGCAAATTTTCAAAACTATGGATAATTCCACAATTCTCATCTCTTCTTCACTTTGCTGTGCTGACGTGAACCAGCTGCATAGTAAAACAAATTGATTGTACAATCGAAATTGGAAAATTCGTAGTAGATAGTTATTTTCTTTTAAATAGAAGCCACAAATCTCATTATACACAATTTTTATATATTATTATTTTTGTATGTAAATAATAATAAAAAAACATAAATCTCTTGGCTCACGTCTCGTAAAAGATAATAAATACATTTTCGATTTTGGTTATAATACATTTTCTCCGTTCCGTTGGTATTGGTGTGGGTTTTTTATGAATGATAAAATATAAAAATTATTATTTGACCCTGTAGTTTCTCATTTGATTACTATATATAAGGTATTGTTAGTAGAATTATTGGTTGCTCTTTGTTTTTTTTTTAATACAATTTACGAACAATAAAACACAATGTATTATTTTTATTTTAGTTTCAAAAAATCTATAAGACCACCGTGAAACGTTGAATATATAATAATACAATTATTATTCATTATTAATATCTTTATACAATAGCATCGCATCGGTTCTTGTAGAGTTATTTATTTCCACTTAGCCATTTAAATTTGTAATAATTCTTAGAATTAATTTGGATTTTTTTCATCGTAATAATAGAGTCTTATATTTTTATTTCAAAAAAAGTTCCTTTGATATTTACATTAATTTGTAAATTATGTGCCCCGGTGCAAAACGTTTTATCCTTTATTATTATGTTGGTTACCCTGATGGAAAACACAAAATGAAAAATTAAACCTTTTTTTAGAAAAGGTTATAAATAATAATATTACTAATTTCTATTATTTTCTATTATTTATATAACTATATTAATTTTACTTTACTGAGGGTAGTTTTTGGATAGATTTGGGATTTCAAAATAAGACTCATAGCAGATCTAGTGTGTATCTACAAAATATAAAACATTTTATAAATGTTTAGTAAAACTTTGAGACCTTTGATCGCTCTGATTGCTTTAAGGTTGGCTTGACAGTTCTTTGTGATGGATATTTCAAAAATACCTACCTTTCTTTTTTCCTTAAACATAGCAAAATATTAATATACACATGAACATTATTTTTTTTTGCTGTCTGGAAAACTTAAAAATGACACGGATATTAGATCAACAACCGGCATATTATGATGCTCGAAAAAAAAATACAATCGACAAAAACAAAAAATTATACTAAGTAAAAAAACTTAAGCATCACTTGTGGTTAAATAAACCTTATACCCCAATTGTATTACAACTTACAACTCGATAGTACTGTTGTTCCGTGGAACAGGAAATGTGTGTAGAAGGAAATCCGTTTTTACAATTAATAGGGTGTTAAAGGGCCGAAGGGTACATTTTAGTACAAGTTAATCATTTTTTTTTTTTTTTTTACAATTATGAAAAATAATATAAACCCGTCCTACTGTTTACAGATTCCTCGCTAACCGACAAAAGCGCCAAAGCTTAGCAGCCGCCAACGCTGTGAGAACCGAACAAAAAGCGAGCAAAGTATTGGGAGTCGTGTTCTTCACGTTTGTCTTGTGTTGGTCACCGTTCTTTTTGTTGAACATTGTTTTCGCTGTGTGTCCAAAATCCGATTGCCCTGTACCGGATCACGTTACCGAAGTTTGCCTGTGGTTGGGATACGTGTCTTCAACGATCAATCCGATCATTTATACGATTTTCAACAAGACATTCAGGGCGGCATTTATCAGGTAAATCAATATAAAAAAAAAGCACCCAACGTTTAATTAACAGTTAATACATATGCTATAAATATGAAAAGAAATCAAATGTTATTAAAAATAATACTCGTTTTTTTAAAGAAAACAAATTTCATAAAAAGAAAGTCTCAATAAAATATGACAAATTAACTCAATCATTACAATGATTTAAATTGTTTGCCGCTGATTACATGTTAAACGAACTGCTAATTGTAAAAAAATGACAAGTTCGTTTTTATTGTCATTTATTATTGCAAACAAGACATACCTAAATTAAATGGGTTGAACATCTAAAAGCGGTGTACGAAATTACGGTTTACTACGGAAATGACTCAGATCTTCTTTCTGTAGTAAACGGTTTTTTTGTTATCTTCTTTTTATTTAAAACAACAGTTACGAATATAAATTAACGTGTTATAAAACCTTATATTTGATTAACGTTGAGAAATTCAATTGACAAAAAGAAAATTTACATTTCACAAAAGTTTTTCCGCAAATTACTTGAAACTTGAAAGGGATAGCATAATCCCAAAACGAATATATTTTTATTGCAATAAAAGAACTGTAAGCGAATCCAAAACAAGTTTTTCGGATCCTAACTCTCGTTTGATACGTTAAACTAAATTTAAATCAAACCGGCAACTATTGACAAAGTAAATAAATTTAGTAACTTCACGTAACTCTTCGTTATTAGTTAACTTTAAAATTAAAATATACTCTTTTGAACTTTGTTTATCTTTGATGCGGAGCTGTGATGGTATTGGCTCTACAGCGATATGTTATCACTTATTTCATTGCCCTACGATACCGTTCTAACCGCGGATCTGATTATTTTAAAAATCGTTTACCACAAGTACTTATAACGCCAAAAAGTTTTTATAAAATTACCCCTTTAATATTTTGTTGCTATCATAATAATAATATGGTCGAATGTTTGGTAAAAAACAGTTTGAAAACTATGATCTCTTTGTGATCTTGGAAACCATGTTACCCATCAGAGAGAAAAAAAAGTTGACAATTGCTTTTTTTAAAAATTAATAATTAAAATAAAAATTTCTCTTAAAGAAAACCATTCGATCATGAAAATGTCTTATGGGAAAAAATGTAATATAACAGAGATAAGCCGCGACTTATCACTTTAAATATATGTTCATGATGTTCGTGTTCAATTTAACTTCCTACCATTTGTCACTGATCTCTTATCAGCATCCATAATCAGCTGCTTCTTATCACCACCGTGAAAATTATAAGACACATTCATACAAGTAATGTATTATTTTGTGTTATTGTAATGTCAAGTAATGTGTTATTTTCGATGTAGGCATGTAGTTACATATTTGCTCCTGTTCACCTTTTTTTATGTAAAGAAGTTATAAAGGATAACTTCAAAAATTATGACCAGAGTTTTAATAAGTGTAAAAAAAAAAAAAGGAATATTTTCTGGTTTTTCCCATTGTGTACAAATTATAGCGTGATGTATTTCTAATTGTAAAACAGCATGACACTTACGATATTATCGATTTTAAAGGGGTAATTTTATAAAAACCCTTTGAACAATATTTTTATTATGCTATCAGAACAATAATTGTTAATGAAAACCGTGTACAAACAAACGTGGATAAATAATGAGTTTTTGATTACATGCATTACAGGCTTTTGAAGTGTCGGTGTCACAAGACCAGACCGCATCGCTACAGGTCGGTGACTGATAACAGACATTCTGCGTTGATAAGTACTCCGTCGGGGGCCGCGGCTGGAGCCGCTAACGTACCTTTGTCGTTGTCACTTCAGACCACACCTTTGACTTCTCCACCGGTCAACAACACGGCAACGTTGAAAAAAACACCGTCTTCGGCTTCGTCGAGTTACCCGGACTCGTTTTCCGTTGAGGAACCTCCAAAGATTTTGAAGTTCTGAAAAACAATATTGGCGTTTCAATAATAATAATATCATTGTCATTGTATTATTTGCTGTCTGCACTGTGCATGCGGTAACCCTTACATATCATAAACTATGTTCTCTGCGAGTTAAATTCCAGAAGATAGGTTTCCAGAATTGGCATAAGTGTATTATAATAACGCGTTTCGCTTAAACCACAATCTCGGCGGCGGACACAGACCCGTCTGAACTTGGAACTTTGAATAATGTCTCGAAATCGCGTTTCGCACCAATGTTATACGCTGAACTTGACGGTTGGCGGTTAGATTGAACTTTGTACAACTGTCCCGTTATTGATGACATTGCTATTGTTCGGTGTATTGTGATTACAAAGCCAAATCACAGCGGTGGTAATTATAGTCAACGAAATTCATGAACCGTTTCTGGTGTTGAAGTAATAAAGGGTTGAGATATTTTTCATTAAACCGGCGTTTCGAGAGAAAGTAACTTTAAATAATTAAAATTAGAGGAAAATCGTGTGAAAATAGAGTACTAGAGTAAGAATAAAAAAATTATATGAAAAATAACTAGCGAGAAAATAATTTTTATGTATTAAATGTCAAAATTGAGGGTTGGGCGAAAAAATGATGACATTTTTTTTTATACTTACCTACTTGGTTATTTCATGTGTAACTTTTTTAATTAAAGTATAAGTTCGTATTGGTGTGTGTATTATACAGAAAGAAACAATTTCCTCCATTTTACGTCTAAAATTGGATGTTATTATTTTCAGTTGTTCAAATTGAAATATTATATAAACTACAATGAAAACAAGTCCTATAACTAATGAATTATAAAACATTATAAAGTCATTAACGTCCAGATTATTCATTATAATTATCTATTTGTTTTAATTTATTAACTTTGGTTTAACAAAGGCCTTCGGAACACGAGAATTTTTTTTTTTTTAAGTTGTCTAATATTCTGTTTCCTCTGTATTTTTAAAACAAAATACAAATTATGTTGGAAGACATGTTTATACATTAGTCTTCTTCATAAAAACCCTTTAAGCTTCGTTACTGTTTAGTTAATAATATTATAGAGTGAGTAAAAATGTCAGGACAGAGAGATTGATTATTTGTATAATAAATTAACTTTACGTTTTGTGTGTATGTGTTGTATATGTAATGTAGAAATTTTACTTATAAGTTAGCTGTATACATAAAATACCTATTACATTGTAGAGATTGCGAGTTACGATAATATAAAAACCCCTTTTAATGACAACATTATTTTATGGCGTAGATACTGTATATTTTCTGAAAGGTGTGATTAAGAACATAAAGTATTAATGTCTGCTATTATTTAAATTTTTTTGTTTTGTTTTTCAAAAAGTCTTACAAGTAATCGTTCTTTTTTTTGTAACCTACATACTTAGGTAAATGTATTTGAAGCATGATGTCACGGTTTGATCGTCATTAATAACGCAATGTTAATGAAAAACGATAGTAATAAGAACAAAAATATAAAAAATATGTTTTCAGAGCGTAAATATTCTAAACAATTTAATTTTAGCGGCGACAGCTTGTATAAATAACCTTGTTTTCCTAAACGTTAAGTTTTATTGTACTTTCAGAAAATTATGTTAGACGAAATAGGTAAAATAAAAAAAATATGTTAAATTTTCCAAAGAAACCTAGGCATTTGTTATTAAAATTACAAATTTAATAAAATAATATTATGAAAATACCGAGTTATCAGAAATACATTTTTATTTAGCGCATCAAATATATTTTTTATTTTTAATATATTATAATTTTTAGGCAGCTTCAAATAATATTATGTTTAACTGTTTTCAATAACAGTTTGTTTTAACCCATTTACGCCCAGGGTGTCTTATATTGTGTAGGACACCAGCCTGGTAACCGTTTTAGGGTCTATGTCAACATAATAATTTTTTTTTTTAACTTTTATTATTTAAATTCGATTGAAATATAATTTCTATTTGTATTTGAATACAAAATTATTTGGAGCTAAAATTTAAAATGTATTAAATATAATTTTTTATTTGTTATTTGTTTAAATCTAATTTATATTTGATTTTTTTTTTTAATAAAAATAATATATTTATTATTTAAATACGTTTTTATTTTTAATAATTATTTGAAATTTTATTTAAATTATTAATGCCTAGGTTTGCTTTAATATAATATTTCCCTTATATCCCTAACACCTAGCTTATGTTCAAATAAAACTATACATAGATATACATTATTTATAAATTATACTTATGGAAAATAATTGGAAATTTAAAATATAGCAAACAAATTGGATTTGGTGCCTAATTTAACACAAAATATGCTTCTATTGTTTATCATACATACCGTTTGTTTACAATATAATTTAATTAGTTTTAATCTTCCATTAGAGTTTTCACTTTTGTAGGATTAAATATACATTTTATATTTATAATAACATAACAGCCTATACATATTATAAAAAATAATTTAGTAATAATTCAATAAATAATATAATATATCTGTTATAATAGTAAAAATATTATATTTTGTAAGAAAATCAACTATTAATAACATTTAGTTTTGTTTCAATAAGATTTCTAACTATTATAAATTTAACATTATAATTATAAGTGTATAAGTCATGTTTGCCACTAAACCGCAACAAAACATTTATTTGTCGGATAATAAATATTATTAATTATGTATTTAACATCGGAATGTCGTTTTGAGCTCACGAAATAAAGCTACAAATAAAATTAAATATATATTATTGAGTCCTTCCAGTCTATCGATCACGCACTTAGTATGTTTAGATGTTAGATTTACTATGGAACATACTTAAACATTAAACATAGAATATACATTTAAGTATTAATATACATACACGTAGTGTAATTTTCATGTTGGAAATTATATAATGTAGGTATAATAATATGTTACTGTTTGTATGATGTAATAAGCATATATTAATGTTGTTTATGACTTCAGTTATCTTAAGTCTTAAGTTTTAAGATAATAATATGTACCTATGTAATATAAATAACTATAATTATTTCAAATATGTGTGTTCCTAATTCTTTTGTATTGTAAAATAAAATAGCTGTGAAGATATACTAATTTCTAATTGTCTTATTTGTCCTAATAGCAAAACAAAATTAACAAGTACTATCGTCAAAATGCACATTATAACTTAAAATGATAATATTAATAAATATTTAATTATTTCAACTTTATACAATAAAAACTGACATTCCAGAAGACCCAAATATTTATCTATCATTTGAGGCTCTGTTTTTATTGTTAATTAATTGTAAATACTCGTGTTCTTGGGGTCGCTTATTTGATACTAACAATTTTATAAGCTTAAGAAACATTCTGGTTTTCCAGAGAAAAATAATTGCAACATACCATCGCCATCTGTCATTGGAGAACAGTACTATTTGTATCCACATTATTCAACACGAGATAGCGCCAACGCAATGTTTTACACAGCACAAGATTTTGTTTTTGGAAATAAAACTATGGCAATAGTCGTATGTGCAATAAACGAAAGTTGAAACTATTATCTACAAAAGTAATTTATTATAAAATTATGGTAAAAATCATGAGGTATTTAAACAAAATTTGTATTTTTTAAATAAAAATCTCAAAGGGTGATAATTTATTTGAAACAAGTTTATTGTCAATTATTTTTTGTAGATTTTTTTATTCATTTTATAACGAAACAATACAAAACTAATAGGAAAAAAAGTTATTTTTCATTTTGTTTGTAAAAAATAAACTTAATAAAAATCGCATTTTCTTGTTTTATTTTAATTGCTAAGTACAGAAAGGGCACATGTCCAGATTTTAAATTTTCAAGACAAAAATCTCAATATTTCCGAAAAAAATATAGTTATAAATGTTATTAAATGATATAGCATTATACATTATATAGATGTTTCTACAGTTATTTAAAGAAAATGTATAGTAATTTGATTCATAAACGGCTTATGCCCATACTCCATGACCTTAAAACCCTTAAGGTGCCCAGAGTTTTATATAATAATTCTTTAAATATGATTATATATTGTTTAATGCTTTATTATTTAGTAAAATGAAATTATTTATTAAGTTTTTACAGAAAAATTGTAAACTCTGGACATGTGCCCTTTTTGTATTTAGCGGTTAATTTTTACTATTTTAATCATATACAAATACTTGTACCATTAATGTATACAATTAAAAATAGTTATATAATGATTTTACGGTTGTCCTCTGTAGGAACGATATACATTAAATATGTTTTATTAATTTCTAATAGCTTTTAAAATATGCCTACAGTATTTTGATAGTAACATCGAAACAGCAAATACGTATCTATAAGGTATGTGCATAACGTTCAAAGTACAAATTGGAAAATTTGTTATAATATAAAATAAGAGAACCATTTTAAAATGTAATTTTTATTTTCCCCGAAGTAAAATAAATATCATCTTTGAATTCGTACCTTAACATATTATTGACTATATTTCAAAAAGGTGTTCGCTGAATATCAATATTATTGTGTGACCAATTTACCAATATGTATATATAGTTGGTATTCTCTCCGTTTGTATAGTAACTATAAATGAAAATTTATGAAGTGCACACAATACAAGTTGAAAATCGATAATATATATATCTATATATATATATATACGTTCACAAATGAAATATCTCAAATGTTTTTATCAGAAAGATAAAAGGAATTCTAAAAATAAACTTTTCATTGGTTTCGCGAACTAAGAATTTCTGCACGTTAGCCGTCTTTTATGTTAGATATTATATTATACACTTATATAAACACAAGTCAAGACTTAGCTGTAAGGTACTTCAGGGGAATTTCATTAGAGGTTTGGAGAAATCGATAACTTAATCTCGGGCCGGTAAAGACTGTCGTGGCAAATACAACTGCGAGAAAATGTTGTAATATCCGGTTTTCTATTGAAACAATAATATGCTTTTATGTATTTCCTTCTCGAGTGTGGGGTACCTATTTTTGTTATTATTCGATCTAACCACGATAAATAAAATTAAAAAATCACAATTTTTTAGTTTAACTGTTGAACGAACTTGTCTGTATTGAGGTTCATAAGTGAAACGATATATTTTTATAGAAACCTAACCTGAATAGTTTCAGTATAATTTGGCATAATATAATGATTATTACTGTTTTCGTTAAATATGCACCTACTTTTTTATTTATTAGCAAAATATAATTACACTATAATTATATATAGCACATTTATACATTCATAGGAAACCACTGAACCTCGTTTGTCGACGTAGTAATGTGATTAAATGAAAACATGAAAGTTTAATATGGTTCTGATGCGTACCAAACGTTGTTACCGATAAACTATGATAAAAATAATAGCTTTTATTAACCCAGTCGGTAAAGTGGACGTCATAGTATACACTACTCGAGTACTAACTACTAAGTGGTCGTATAGTTTCATAATAATCTAATCAGTGAGAGATTCACTATGACCGCATACACAATGTTTTACTGTATTATGGAGACCGTTTGGTCTTCTAGTTCATTAACAATTTGCATTAATTTATCTTAATTTCTCATAGATGCAAAAGAACAATCATTCGGAAGTCGAAACGATTAATTTCGGTTTACATCATAGGTTCTAAGTTTATCCGTGTTTTTGGAAACGTACAAGTTTATATTATTTGGTGAAGTGAAGCCAGTGCAACCGCTTCATTTTTTAAACTAACAATTATGCAATGTCAATTAAAAATGTTTTAGTTGCACTTGCACCATTTGATTGCAGCTACCTTAATATATTCATTTCTAATAAATAATACATTTATATATTCTAATATATTATAAACTCTAATAATTTGGTCAACAATTACTACCTCAGACTAGGTTCACACATCTCGGTTCCTTCGACTTACGCTTTCGATATTTCATCGAATTACTCACTTTATTGCAATTTGCACGGTAACATAATAGTGAAAAACGATAAACTTAAAATGTTGTATATTTTAGTTATAATCGCAGTTGAACTAATATGATACAGTAATTGTTATTAATAATTAATGTTTAAGAAAGATAAGTTTGCGAACAACAATTTTTCAACAAGACTAAACAACAAAAATACGGCTCAAGTGCACACTGAATATTTATCTAATCTAAAAACTGTCAATCAAGAATACGTTAAATATCAAATGCATACCTAATACGTGAACGCTGACTAACTGGTAGGAACTAAATAAAAATAGGTACTTATACGTAGGGGCGTATATTAGGTCAAATACATGACATTATTCGTAACGCCATTTAAGAAGAAATCAAAATTAAGGATTTTTTTTTAACCTCGCATTAATTAAAACAATATACAGTCCCAATAGGGCACAAGCTCAAAAAAAAAAATAAAACATATTTCACCTTTTTATTTAGTTTATTTATACACCTACTATTCGATAAGAGATAGCAGATTGTTTCACCTTGATTATTTTTAAATCTGAAGCAATGGAACTTTTACCATTCGATCTAATGTACAATTTTCTACAAAATATACAAAATGTCTAACCCAACGAATGTAGTTAAGTGACTTTTGTATTAAACTAAAAATTGTTTATTAAAAAACTAATTTTCGAAGCTTTAAACAGGTTTATCTTGTTATTAGTACCTATTAAAAGTATGGTGGTGCAATGATATAACGCTTCCACGTAGTGTACCCCGGGCAACGTCTTTAGACGGCTAAAGTTCTATCACCCCTCTGGCAGCCATACGAAGAAATAAATAAATTCAAAGTTTAGAAATTAAGATTTTTCTTTTCAATTTTTTTTTTTGTACTTAATTTATAAAAAATTAATTTAATTAATTAATTATTAATTAAAAAGTGATTATCAGTTTTACAACGAAGTTATACTATCTAGAAAACAATGTGCTCCACCGCTCTCCGAGGAATGCATTGGAAATATATTTCACAAGTTGAAATACAAGTTGAGAACAAATCAAATAACAGA